CTCTGGAAATTTGAGGTTGGGCCTCTGCCTGAATCTGTTGATGCTGCTGCCCTTGCTACCGCTGACACTTGGAGCCGCCGCCTCCACACAGCGGCCAGACGCGGACCATCCACGCTGTCCGGGGAGGCCACGGACATTGTCACTCTCCCCACGGTGCGGCCCGGCTGCCACCCACGCTGGGAAGTTTGACCCGCGCCCCCTTCTGCACCCGCCCGCAGGTGAGACTCCCGCTCCCCACGGAGTTCTGTTTGGGTTTCCGTGGCGTTTGTTCCCCGCAGGTTTGTTTGTTTTTCTTCAAATTACAGATGCAGGGAAAACCGCCTGACATCATGAGAGCGGGACAAACGCTCACTTTGAAGGATTCCTGGGCAGGACTTCAAGTGAAATCATATGCCTGAGAAGAACTTGATACCGGTCTAGAGAAAATAACCAGTTCTGAGTTTGCCAAACCGTGGAATGTGCAAAATGCTCGACTTTTTTGCGAGAGGCCAAGTGTCCCTTAAAAGCTCCATTATGAATATGAGCCTGAAGACACAAGGAGCAAGAAGGTTATGCCTTTGTTGAGTGTGGGAAAAAGTGCACACTTGGTGTGAGTTTCTCCTAATTTACCTTACTTTATCAGTTATGTTCCATTTTGGGGGAGAGTACCTGTAACTGCATGAATGACCATCTGTGTGTATGGGAACATATATTTACTGCTTTCTTACAACTGACTGAAGCAATCAACCCAACAAAACTAAAAGCCAGAAAAAAAAATTTATGTGCAGAATAGGAAACATTCTTACTCAATTGTTTAGAATTCACGCAAACAATTATAGACAATATTTCCCCTGCAGTGAATACTCTGGCTAACTGATAACAACCCCTGGGGCCAGAAACCACATTTAGTTCCAACTTCAGAAACAGAGGTAATTCATTCTGTGTGACTTTTGAAAGAAGAATGGGTAGCAAAACTGAAATGAAAGCAGAAAATAATGGTAGAAATACAGGTGGCTTCATTTCTATTCTTTAAAAGAATTAGCAGTGCTAAGTGTATTGATGATGGGAAAGCTGAGAATTCAGAAATAGTCTGCAAGCGGAAAATTATATTCTAAGTCAATATTTTCCACCGTGAATTCTTCTCATTCAAAATAAAACTATTCACCACCTTTCTTTCATTCATTTCTCTGAAATTCTAGGGGAAAATATTACCCTCCGTTTAGTAGTTAGTGTTACTCAACATAAATGTGGTATTTGCTTTTTTCCAAAGTACTTTTGCTTATGAAAAAAGTGGAAGGAACAAACAAAAGGGAAACGGAAGGCTGTCCTTTTCTTTCTTTCTTTCTTTCTTTTTTGATAATGTCTAGTGTTTATATCATCAGAGTTAAGATAGAAATTACCTTCTCGGCAATGATGCTCAGCTCCATCCTGAAGTACGTCAAGAAATCTGAAATATCAAATAGTCAGACCAAGCTAGTGAACAAGGAGATTCCTCCATGCACAATTTAGAAAATGGAGGTGGTTGGATGATACACACAAAAGAGAGGAGTACCAATATTGATGCTCTCCCTGATCTTTCTAAGGCACCCTCCTTACATTTCTGTCTTACACACATATACACACACACTTCACAAACACAGCCACATCCCACAAATACACCCATACATAGTTATCTTTGACTTCTCATTTGGTAAAGGACTATCAAAATCCAAAAAAAAAAAAAAAAAGTAATTACCAAGCCTTCACTAATCCTTCAATATAAGTCAATGCAATAGGCTTTTGGTGGTCTACAATATTCACAATAAGAAATCTGCAGTACTGTTACGTGAGCATTCTATGATGAGCTGTGGAGAGAGGAACAAAAACCTTCCAGCAATATTATAACCTCAGCTTGAGCTGAGCAAATACGATCTGTTTCGATTCATACACTTATTTGCCATAGTCATTCTTTGAATCAATTAGCAAAATTATTTTCCATTTTCAAAGCTTCCCTAATTACACTTGAATGCAGTACACTGGATGTAACAGCTAAGAACTAAGTGATACAAACTTACAAGTTCCAAGGATATGTCAATATTTTCCTGACCCAGAAATAACCAGAATGAAACAAAAATCAAGAATCATTTCTTCCTGTTATTACTTCATAAGATTTTGAATACATATATCTGACGGTGGAAAAGGTTTGTGTAATTTTGGATGAAATACACTTGCTAGTGGATAACTATAACATTTAAAATTGTAATTGCTCCAACAATCAGCAAGGACATAGAAAGTTCATGCTCTTATTATATTTTACCTCCATCACTTTATGTTCTTTATATATAAAGGAGCCTGCTTCCCAAATGGGTAACATCAACATGGGAAAATACTCCCTAATTCTGGCGTTTCTTTTCATCAAAAACTACACTAAATGTCACTTCACATTCATGAAAGAAGAGTTAAGCAAATTACAAGTGGAATTGTCTCTTTCCTGCTGAATTACACTTTTATTATTTTCTATGCACTTGTATTCTGAAATTATTATTTAAAAACCTTCACAAAAAGTGAAGGGAATGACAAAAAATGCACAGTAGTGAGAATATAGTGCTGGCTTCATACTACTTATTTACATTTAACTGTTTTGCAGCTGCCTCCTTGAGATATAAGCAAGAGAATAACAAATTTGTTAATTTTTTTCTGTTTGGGGACCTGATTAGAGATGAAGGAAAGATGCTGCTAAGCCCACCACCGAACACCAAACTGGAATAATAATAAAGTTGTCTTTCTAAATAACATGCCTGTCCCTGTCAGTAGCTAGTTTATTTGAGTTTTTCACTGCTTTGTTTATATTAGTGCCCCCTCCCTCCTGGGTGCCTCCAGAGTTAAACAAGCAGTTATTTACCTCCAACTTAATCCTGAGTTTTAAAAATATAGACCAAACTCTAAGGTTCTTAAAATTTTCAATCATATTTATTTATTGCAGAAAAATAATATACAAAGATATTTACAAAACAATCATAAAAATATGAATGCATTTAGACACCGGATCTATTTGCATTTTACCATGGGTCATCAATAAATAAATAGAATGTTGTTTTTTGTATTTTAAGTTTTTTTCCTTCAGAGGAAGAAAGAAAAAAGGAATTAACTGACTGTGATTTTGCAAGTCAGTTTGATTCCAGTATTTTTATTTCTAAAGGTGTTCTTAAAATTCCTCTGATTGTTACCATTTTAAAATGGAGAAAGTCCATAATGATGCCTTTCCTTTCAGTGGCTGATTGGCACACGACCTCTTGAGAATGCATGCATGAAAAAATAAAAATAAAAATAAAAACATTCTTCGTCAAAAAAAAAAAAGGAAGAAAAAGGAACACAAACAACTGTTCAGACTTCTATCAGAATGTAGAGGTGTGAGGATGGTGCCGCTGCCCGTCAGGGAATCATTGTCCACGGGCCTGTCTCGCTTTCTCTTTTAAAAGTGCGCCCCACGCCCTGTTTCTTTGAATTTGGGTTCTGCTCTTCTAATTTCCAAGAAAATCTTTGGCATATATATTTATTTTTAGTTATCCAGCTCCAGAGTCTCTAGACTGTCCATTTTCTCCTTCTCTGGAAACAATGACATCTGCAAAAACCCAGAGGGGGAAAGTTGGTTATTGTTTAGGTCTCTGTAGCTGTTTTCTAAGACTAGCGAGCACTGTTCTTATCACCATCACCGAGAAATTACGCTGAACAACCTGGAAGGATTTCAGCCCAAGGGCAAGAGGAAGTGGGTGGGCGGAAAGAAGGAGGAGGTGGAATTTGGAAACATTTGTTTTAAGAAGAACGAAAACTTAAAGCCAAGAGAAAGGGAGGCGCTGGCAAGACAGTCCTTACCCATGACCCTTTTGCATCTTTCCCCGTCTTCTCGCCTGTCTGTCACGCACACTCTCACACACGCACACCCATCAGAGGGTGCATCTCTCTGCGGACCTCTCTCCCTAGCGGGAACTGAACTGCCTCCGGGGACTGGGGGTGGTCGTGGAGGGGGGATGAGGTGGTGCTGGCAGGTTGGTGGGGAGGCTGCGCGGGCGGTGGGAGAGGGAAAACTAGGAGCGGTGGCCCGGGAGACGTGGCCTGGTCCGCAGTCCGGCTGCCACCTGAGCGGCGCTGGGGCGCCAAGGCGCCCGTCCTTACCTAGGTCTCCGACCCTGCCGAGGGAGTGGGGAGCTCCGCCTGCTAGTGGGACGCGGACATGGACCAGGCCCCTTCCATCCTCCAGACCGAGAAGGCGTAGCTGAGCCGCTCGTGGGCCACATAGCTGCAGCTTGCCATCTTGGAGTCCAGCTCGTCGCTCTGGAGGACCTGGTAGAGGAAGTCGATGTACCTGGCAGCTAACTTGAGGGTCTGGATCTTGCTCAGCTTGTCCGAGGGCAGCGTGGGGATGATCTTCCGCAGCGCCGCGAACGCCTCGTTCAGCGACTGGGTGCGCTGGCGCTCCCGCACGTTGGCCATGACCCGCTGCGTCTGCAGCTCCTCGTAGGACTGCGGGCTCCCGCCGCCGCTGCTGCTGCCTCCGCCCCCCGCGCCGCCGCCGGCGCAGCCCGCAGACTTCTTGCCGCGCTTGCCCTGGGCCGGGCTGCCCGGGTCCTCGCCGCCGCCGACGCCCGCGCCCGCGGCCCCGCCGGGCCCCGCACCGCCGCCCGCGCTGCGCCGGCTGCTGCGCCGCTTGCGCCCCCCGCGCTTGCCGCTCGGCGGCTGCTGCCGGTCAGGCTCCTCCTCGCTGTTGCTCAAGCTGTCGTCGGCCGGCGAGACTGGCGAGCTGGACACGTCCTGCATCATCTCTCGGGCGGCAGCGCGTGGCCTCGCAGGCCCGGGGCGGAGAGGTAGCCCGGGGAAGAGGAGAGCGCGGCGCTTCAGCCCGCCAGCTTCCCCCGTGCGCGGCGCGGGCCGGGGCAGTGCGGCCCGCCGAGGAGGGAGCGGGAGGAGGGACGGGGAGGATCTCCACGGGGAGGGCGCTGGGGGAGGCGGGGAGGGAGGCTGGAGGGGGGGAGGGGACGGTGTGGATGGCCCCGAGGTCCAAAAAGAAGGCGCCTAACGGTTGCACGCACGCCCGGCTCGGTCTTCTGCAAACAGTGCCGGTACCGGCGAGCCCGCGAGGTGTCTGGGAGTTGGGCAAAAGCTGCAGACTTGGAGGCTCTTATACCTCCGTGCAGGCGGAAAGTTTAGGGGCAGCAGTGTCATTGGCCTGACGTGGGGAGGAGGGACTTTTCCAAGTTTTATAGGGAAGTTTCCGCTTTCCAGCCCCCCTCCCCCGCCCCCACCCCCACCCCCTTCCTCAGAGTCTAACAATTCGTCCTCCCAAACCATTCAAAAACGACCTGGTCCTGGCGGCCGGCCCCTCCGCCCGCCTCTCGTTGCTCTGCTCCTTCCCTCCCCGCCGCCCTCAGCTTGCCAGCGCGGGGCGATTTCCTTCCGCATCCGAGCGCTCGGGCCGCGCCCCCGCACCCGAGCACAGGCCGGAGGGGACAGGCCAGGCGGTGCCAGTCCCTCCAGGAGTGACTGTGACAGCAGCAGCAGCAGCAGCAACAGCAGCAGCTTCTACGCAGTGGGTGATACCTCATCTCGCCCCAGTAAGCTCTAGGTCCCTGGAGCCGTTTGGGATTATGGGGGTTGGGTAGGGGTAGGGGGTGTCAAGAAAACTGGCAACCGCAGAACCCACCCCATGGTCAGGTAAAGGGAACTCTGCAGCCCCAAGGACAAACCGCGGCGGCTGGCCCAGAGGTCCTTGGCTCTTCTGAAGACGTGGCTGCGCCGCAGGGTCTGTGGATCTGCTCCCAGGCCTGCTCTTCACCCCTCCCTGAGAAGCACCTGGGCATTTCATTTCCCTCCACTAAGAGCCAACCTAACTCCTCCCAACACCCAAAGGACTACTCTTCTGAAGGTACCAGAAAGAGCCAGATGTTCATTCTCCCGCGCGGAAGGCCAACGTGTCCCTGAAGAAGGCAGCAGGGAGGGAGGAGGCCAACGTACGGTCTTTGCCACGACCCTGATCACCTAAGATGCCAGCCAAAAGGTGAAAGACCGGGTAGACCCCCCCCCCCCACTTCCAGATAAGGCCCTGCAATGTGACCTCTAAAGGTCGGCTCATAAAAGAATGTGATGAGGCTTCAACTTTGCCCACACAGAGAGTTGCAAGCTCTGAGAACAATTCTTCCTCATCCCGTTTCATTACTAGGAGGTTAAGTAGACTATTATGCTCCGTGCACGCCAAGTACATTCCAAATGCTACGGTCCTTTTACATTTTAAGCATTGCTAGCTAAGAAGTTCACAATGAAACCCTCCAAAGAGGGTGTTTAATGCAAATTCTAGCAAATTGGAAGCAACAAAAAAAAAGTTGGTGATCTGGAAGGGAAGGCGTCGCGGAAGATAAGTCCACTTATAAAATACCAGAATTACAAAAAAAAAAAAAAAGTTTTCCTACAATAATTGTCCCATGTTTAGCCCTTACATTTCAAAGCGAACTAGAAGTCAAAAGTAGTAGTCGGTGTTCCGGGCCAGATTTGGCGGGTACAGGAGTATTCCCAGCGCTCCCGTGCCCTGCGCAGACCGAGACCCGCCCACGCCTTTCCCAGTCTGGACTCGCAGGTGAGAATTCACAAAGTGTCCCTTCCTGGGCCGTACCAGGGGTGGCCGCGAGAGTCCAAAAGTGCAGGAGAGAGCTTAGGCGATGCTCGGGCGGGCCACGTGGCTGTGCCGCGCTGAGGCTCATAGCTAGAGTCTGGGAATCCCCAGGGTTTGGAGCGTCTGGGGACAGCAGAATGGCTCAGAAGTGAGGGCAGTGGCCTCTGAGGGGTGGGGGTGGGGGTGGTGAACAAGGCTTTTTGGGAGGGGCGACTGGCAGGTTTTGTCTATCACCATTTTCACGCTTATTTGGAGACAATGACCAATAACTTGTGCCAACTGGCCAGTTCAGCGAATTGTTGCTGTGTTTTAAAATGAAATCCTGTCTGAAAGAAAAATCACATTCTACTTGACCTCCACTTAATAGCACGCAGACAGCTATCCTTAAAACAAAGTACATTCTGATAAGACATCTTGTGTTTGCATCTTCTGCCTGCACTTTATCTCTTGGAAGCGATTAAAGAATGAGGCAGAAATTCCACTCACTGTCTACTCTGCATTGCAGAGTGTCCCACAATTCTTATTTGAATGTGGTTGCAGATATCTCAGAATTTTTTCACATTTACCTATCTCGGTGTTTGTTTATATATATCAATCTCAGTTTTGGTTTTCCCTTTAGCTTAATTCTCAAAAATAAACACAGATGGAATAATTGGACTCTTTCTTTTGTGGCGCTGGGTAAGCAAGACAGGAAAGTGTGGGTAAAGTGTAAAGGAAATTTTATCTGACCGAGGGGATTTGGGGTTGGAGGGGGGGATGGTTGGAAAGGGGAGGTGGAGAAGCTCTAGGAAAAAGTAAGTCCACAACAGCTAGCAACCAGGCATCACTAGCCAGCCCACTTTGAGTCTTCAGTCCCCAAGATTAGTTCTTAAACAAATGAGCCTATTCTTTCTCTGGGCATTAAAATTCTAGGTGATGAAGCACTTCTGGCCATTGGGTACTGGGATGCCCAGGGTTGAAAACAGTATACTTAGAAGAGGATTAAAATGAATTATTTAACCAGAACCATCACTGGCATGGAATCTTCCTGACAGAGTCACAATGAATGACTATAGTTCTGAGCAGAAATTTCTATGGAACTCTTACAAGAAGCTAATGAGACTGGTTTTTAAGCATCCAAATGTTACTTTTGGGGGCAGCAGCTTGACAAATGAATTACCTCTCAAAATACCTGGATATTGATACTCCCTGCTTGCCAACTGCAAACATCCCCTGGCCCTGTTGTTCCACTCTACTCATCTATAACTATATGCTACCTAGCATTTTATCTAGCAGTTTGTTATTTACACTTGTTGGGGCAAAAGTAAAGATAGTCCCCCTTTCTATGTGCTGATGAGCCAATTATAATTCTGGATATCTTATAGATGCAGCAATAATAAAAACGTCTGCGATAGTTTAACATATGAAACTTAGTTCTAAAATCAGGCTTAGAAATTTCCTTTGAATTTGAACTCAGCTTGACTTGAAAGACATCAGTGGAAAACTGCCTTCTTTAGAAATGCTGGGTTAACTGGAATCAAATAATTTTGTCTACATCAAAAATAAATTCCAAAAAGAAGTTTAACTGAAAACAAGTTTTCTTTTCTTTTGTTTCTTTTCTTTCTTTTTTTCTTTTGCTTTGGCATTATTCAAAATGAGCTTTGTTTTCAAACTGCAAACTTGGCATGTTTGCACTTTCCTGAGGAATATGTGCTTTGTTAAAATTTGCAAAAATACTGTTAGAAGGAACAGTTAGGATTCTCAACATGAGCATATGCAGTAAGAATGTAAGAATGTATCCTTACAGTTTGAATATGCATTGGCATTTTCTTAGAAAGAAAAGCACACTACAAAATTGTTAGCAAGCTGGTATATTTGGGACCATGGGCTTTCACAGAAAGTGAGTACTTGAATCTGTTCTTACTCTTTCTCCTTAGTCTTTCTTTAGATGACCTATCACCTGTTTGTTGGCTTAAAGTTCTGTGCAATAATTTCCTTGAATTGCATGAATGAAACACAGGAGCATTCACACAGAAGGGGGCGCAAATTGGAAAAGGCTGCAGTCAGTCGATCTCAGATGAGATTGTACATCTTAGATTTCATCCCTTTGAACACTCCACAGAAATTGCGTAGTTTGATATTTAAATGAGAGAATTTTTTCAAAGTGGACTATAAAGTTTGTATCAGCACAAGTGACTTTGATAACTATGTAAAAGCAGATCCTTCAGTGACACAGGTAGCCTTAGTGATGTTTGAATGCCTTGCCTTAAATAAGAGGTCATTCTCTTTAATAACAATTTAATTCATGAACTGTTTCTACTTTTCTCTACCTGAGTAAAGAATAGGAACACAAGTTGTAATATTTGAAGCTTTTGTTCTAGAAATAAAATGAAGTATAAAGCACAAGAAACTGAGGTATAAAGAGCAATTCAAATTTAAAATAAATACTAGCCTTTAAAATATCTTATATTCTGCACTCAAAATGAGGATAAGATAAGGAAACATAATATGTCACACTTGCAGGGAGAGCAGAATCAGAGTGTGGAAGATGTGGAGTTTTGAATAGCAGTTTCTTTCCCCTGTATTAACCTACTGGGTGTGCAGGCTACAGTGTTTTTCTCATCTTTACTGCCAATTAATCTTGTTGAAATATAATCTCACTTTAGTTATTTCAAAGAGTTGCTGGAATAACCAAAAAATGTAAGAAATGCATAGTTATTCATAGAAGCTTTTATCATGGCCATAATCCTATATATTATTATTTTTTCTCTTCTAAATTATCAGGTCATCAAGCAGTTTGAATACAAATCTAATGACTTAAAGTATTTGTTTTTCCAGCTAAAGTTCCCTCCCTAATTACTCACATCTCTCAGCTCTCTTCACTTGAAAGGGTTTCTTTTTTTTCACAAATCACTTTTCCTGAAGCCTTAAATCCCATTTCCATTGTTTGGCTTGGTTCCTCCTGCAGAAAACATGTTGTTTTTGCCAGTGACCACAAGAGGACACAATTTCCCAGAGAACTTTGTCTAAACTGAAGTTTATAGAGGAGGAAAGCTAGCAAATTCGCACAATTCCTACACAATCAATGAATGTCATATTAGAGATGTGCATTGATTTATGTCACTTTTATTAATTTTAAAAAACATAAAATGAGTTGGCATTCAAACTACAGATTTTAGAAAGATTTTATATCTCTGTCTTGGAGAAGTTGTAAAAACATACATATATGAAAATATACTAAAACACCATGATTCTAAGGGGAACAGTTATTTTTACATTAGAAGGATGTTTTACAAGATATTATTTTATACAAAGGGAAATGTTTATTTCACATTACCATAATTTTGTGCAAAATTTTCAGTGATCTGGAATTTTCCTTTCTTAATTTTAGAGCCACTTTTGGCAATGAAGAGTAGTTTTTTTAAGTATATGACTAGTCTAACATGCATTTGAAAGTCTGAATTTTTAATTTGTCTATTGGGATATCTTTACATGAAAAATTACATGGGCATTACATTTTATGGTTTGTCAATTATATTTTAATGCACATGTGTGTGAAGGACTAAAATTATTTTTCAAATATATGGAAAAACAAGATTTTTAAAAGTATTTACTCCCAACACATCCCCATTATAATTATACACACTCTTTGATTTAAAATGTCCTTTCTCTTTAGTACTACCTCCTCTCAAAAAAATGTCTTAGAGTATCTGATTACTTTGAAAATTAAAAGAAATTATATCTTGGGCCTCCCTGGTGGTGCAAATGGTTAAGCACAGCACTGTGAAGCTATCTGCAGCCTCTGCAGCACAAGCTCCATCACATGGTGCAGCAGACCCCTCCTGTCTTACCCGCTGCTCCCCTCAGCAGTGTATTTCTGTCAATCTGCTTGTTCTGTTCCCCACTGTGTCTCTGGTGATTCCTCTCACCCCCCACACCTCTGGCTTGTACCCCAGTTCTTGTATGCATAAATAAATAAATAAATAAATCTTTAAAAAAAGAAATTATATCTTGATATTTGCTGGAAGAATTTTATTATCGTTCTTGTGGTGTGGCATGACTACCTACTGGGGAATCCTTGCTTTAATTGGGACAAACTGCTTTGCTTTGCATTTGTGTCTTCTTACAGATACATGCCTAATCATGTTCTTTGGGACCCTGTTGAAAAAGCTGATCAATGGAAGAAAAAGACCTGGAAGAAGAAGAGGAGAAAAAAATGAGAGCGAACAGAGTAAATATAAGGAGGAGAGCAAGAGAGGCAATGCAGAATGTGGAGACAAGGGTGGAAGGGTGCTGAAGCAAGAGAGCAAGACTAATAGAGAAAAAGAGAGAATGAGGCTTGATATGTAAGTGGAATGATGGCTCTAAATGACAAGAGAAAGGAAAAAATGAATGCAGTTCATGATAAATAGAAAATCTGTGATGATTTGCCTCAATTTTTTTCCCAAAGACATTATTGCAAGTAGCTGCCTGTTCTGTGGTATGGGCATTTCATTTTGAAATTTACTCATTCTCATCCGAGTTGTAACACTAAGTAAAGAAAAGGGTAGAAGGCCATAATACTTTAATTAACTGTAATGTTCATTTAATGGTTATGCTCTTCCAAGAATCAAAGATAATGTCATTACTGGATCTCTGGAGTGGGAGGAAAGACAAGTGAGGGAATACATGAAAAATACTTCTGACTGTGACAGAATTGCAGGAATGTGTGTGGTTGCTAAGACTCTTAACTCATTAGTTATTTTACACTTGATCTTTACAATGAAGTATCAAACTGGATGTTTTTCCCTGTGCGTGAATCTGAGTCTATGGCAATTAGAATAGGAAAGTTTGTTAGTTCTTTGACCACTGAAAAAGTAATCTTGCCCTATTCTGATTCCTCAGCATGACACAACCATTTAAGGGTGGTCCATTCTGGTCATGATATGAAAATATCACTCCACCACAAGTGTCAGAACTCAAGAGTTGGCAAAATCCCTGTGCGGTAGGAATAATGCTGATTCAGTGATGTGTCAAGATCTATGACATATGTGGGTTTTTCTCTGGGGGATGAAGAAGCTATTGGTAGTTCGGAGGTCATTGCAATTATCTAGGTGAGAAGTGATTGTGACTTGATCTTTGGTGATGGCAGTGGAGTTGGAGTTGGAAAGAAGTGATCAGATTCCAGATACATTTTGAAGGTAGATCGAACAGGATTCACTAAAGATATGAGGTATGTGGGAGAGGAGTCAAGAATAATTCTAAGGCTTTTTATTTGAGCAAAGGAATTGGCAGCCACTGAGATGGAGAATGCAAGGGACATGTTTCAGATGTCTGTTAGAAATTCAAGTGAACTGTTGGGCTGGCAATTGGATATTTGAGTCTGGAATTTGCAAGAGATGTCTGGGATGGAGATAAAAGTTGGACTATATTGGCACATAAGATATTCTTTTAAATTATGTAGCTGGAATAGTTAACTATGTGAGTATGTGTGAGGAATAATTGATGACTGAAATAAAAAAAGTTGGTGATCACTCTATAAAAATAAATCAGAGAATTGATAGAGGTATTAATTAATAGGGAGGATATAAGTTTAAGTAGGGTGATATTTGTTAAATTAGTGCTAATTAATTTTCCCCCAAAGAAGTTAGGACAAATTGAGACAAAGCAATAATAAAAGACATAAGGAAAAAGAAAAAGAATAACAGAATTCATTGAATGGGGAGGCAAATCATATTTCAAGCAAAGTGAAGCGCAGGAGGGTGAGAGAATTCACCAGTGCCAGAGCAGGGAGCAGAGCAGGCAGAAGGACCGAAGTACACTGCTGAGGGGAGCAGCGGGCGGCAGGAGAGGTCAGCGCGCCTTGTGGGACCCTCCTCCGGTGGCCGGGGAGCAGCCGGGGATCGAACCTGTGCTGCAGAGGCTGCGGGCAGCTTCGCAACCCAGCGCTCACCCGCTGTGCCACCGGGGAGGCCCATTAAGTATATTCTTAACATACTGACAATGACACACGAACTGTTGCTCAAGGAAACAAATGTGTAATCAATTATTATAAAAATGCCAACAAGGGTTTGTGCAAGAGTAAACAAAAACATCTAAAAGGAGAATATATTATAAAAATATTCATTCTTATAAAATAGTCACACATAAATATATTTAATTCCAGAAAAATATTTGAGGTAGATAACATAAATTGAAAAAAACAAGTCATTTTTCACAAAAAGTCATTTATCACAAGATAAATGAATCAATAAGAAAACAATAGTAAAAAGTAAAACTAAACTACATAATCAGCAAAGTACATAGCCAATAGCCTGTGTATTTCTCTAAAGATCTACAGTTTATATTAAGAGGCCCGGGATTCTAGAAAGCTGGCTATCTCTCTTGCTCCATGTATTTTTTTAGTGGGTGATCAGACACTGGGCTCTAAGAAGTCCAGAATACAATAGTATGAACAAATATCACAAACTGTATGATGCAGGAGGAAACACACACATACACAAACACACACAGCCCAGAATTTTGACTATTTCACCTGAAAGATTATTTTTCACATAAGCCCATTGAAGAAGGGAGCATTAAGTATCATAAAGGACAGAATTCCTGACAACATTTATGTATTAAATATTTAACAAGTTTCATAGGGCTATTATTTAAAAAAAATGACAATACTTAGATTTATGATAATCTGGCAGAAAAATCATTTTCATAAAGTTATGATTTTCTTAGCTGAGATATTGAAATTAATTGAAAAGTCATTCTGAGAATGTGCCTGATGAATTCTGATAGTAAAATGCAGTAATCTAGGTTACCAGTGCAATTATATTTTCTTGAGAAAACCATTGAGCCCAACAAATTCTTTAATGTAATACTTATGTATAACTGGAAAGCTTTATTACCCCTACCAAGTTGGAGGCAAGTCTGTATCAAAAATTACTATCATCTACAATTTATTTTTTTAAAGATTTATTTATTTATGCATACAAGAATTGGGGTATAAGCCAGAGATGCGGGGGTGTGAGAGGATTCACCAGAGACAGAGTGGGGAACAGAACAGGCAGACTGACTGAATACACTGCTGAGGGGAGCAGCGGGTGAGTGAGGAGAGGTCTGCTGGCCATGTGGGTAGCAACCTGGCCGGGGATGGAATTCGTGCTGCAGTGGCTACATAACCCCTTGCACCACCAGAGAAGCCCCTCATCTACAGTTTAATACTATTCACCCAGATGTATTGTCAAAGAGTCATGGCAAACAGATGTACAAAAGTATGCTAAATTTCCTATAATTAAAAATTTTAAATTTAGAGAAAAAATATTTTTAATGTTTTTGAAATTTATATTGCATTTAAATTTATATGGTTTATATTACAAAATAATTAAAACAGATTTGGTTCATAATGTATACATTTGATTTCCATTCTATCACATTTCATGGTCTTTTTCACTTTAGACTCTTTCTCCTTTTGGAAACATAAGAATGCTACCTTGTGAAATGAGGCTAAGATATGAGGATTGAGGTGTCTTCTAAATTGGGGTGGGGTTGAAGCATAATGTATACCACTCCCTCTGCTCATGTCAGCCTAACATTCTCAGAATAATTTCAGTTTGGCCTTTGCCTATTTGTACTCTGGACTTAGGCTTAAAAAACTCGCTGTGTAGTCTGAGACCACTCTGCCTCTTGGCAGTCCATGGTATTAATCAGAGGCTATTATGTTGTAGGTACTGTCCCAAGACCCCTGGGGGGAAGAGCTGTCTTAAGTGGGAATGGCACTGTAGTAAACTTAGATCTGAAAACATGGTGGATTAACAAAACAGTTTAGGGTCTTCCTGGTGAAAGGGGTTAAGGCACAACCTATGAAGCTGTCTGCAACCACTGCAGCATGAGTTCGATCGCCTGGCTGGCCAGGGAACAACCCACATGGCACAGCAGACCTTTCCTGATCGGCCTGCTGCTCCCCTCAGCAGTGTACTTTGGTCAATCTGCCTGTTCTGTTCCCCACTCTGGTGAATCCTCTCACCCCCAACACCTCTGGCCTATACCCCAGCTCTTGTATCCATAAATAAATAAATCTTAAAAAAAAAGCAGTATACCTTATAAACATAAGCCTTACAGGTTTGATTTAGTGGCTGAGCCATCTGGGGAATTTAACTTCCTCCTCTATGATCTTCAAAATATGACTTCCACTCCAGGGCTCATTTCATTTTTGCATTCCAGCAATTGAGAAAAGAGAAAAGTCCTTTTTGAAGGACTTTATCTAGAAATTAGCTATTGACCTCTGCTCTTATCCCATTGTTACATCTTAATCAAATAGTTACTATTAACTGCAGGTGAGACTGTGAAATATAGCCATTAGCTGGATCTCTATGTCTAAAAGTAGAAGGGGAGAATATATTATTAGATAATTAGGAGGTTTTTTATCAAGTAGTAAAGCAAACAGTCATGATTCTTGACTTCTATTTTGCTCTGAGCTTAAAATTTACTCCTTTTAATCAAGTCATAGTCTGCATGAAAGTTGTATAGTCATTTTATTCAGGCTGCCAATGCTGTTCTTCCCAGCAGTCTCAATTTAAGGGCATTTAAGTATGAAATGTACAGACCTTACAAAATACTAGTTGTACTTTTATGTCATGCCAATAGCTACTATATATACTATTCCCATGTAGCCCATCCAATATTTGCATAAGTTGGTTAAGTGCATATACCTCATTCTACTAGGAGTTCCTTTTAGACAAGATAACTGAACTTACAAAACTGTACTGAGAACATAGCCAAGTCCATAGTGAGTATCCAATAAATATTGAACAGCTTTTTGTTAAATTGGTAATGAAAGTTAGTCAAAAGCTGGATGCTGAGCAGAGCAAGAAAACTCAATCTGATCCAGTTGAATTTAAGGGCAAAAAAGAGCTTATATTATTGCGACTTTTTGCTTTCTCCTCGCTATGACATTTATGTGCTTGTTTAGTTTAGGGCTACGTATAAGAATGATGATGACCATTTGACTTGGGAAAAGGGAGTCAGGAAATTGTTCACCTTTTTGATCATTTTGTCAACCCCTTTCTCCCCAAGGAGACATTTATATGGCCCAATAACGCCAACAAACTCTAACAAAATATATCTTCGTGTTTTCTTTCTCTAAAAATTCTGTAGGAAGCATGCATTTTCACAGAAAGAAAGAATCTTGAATATAAAATAAAATTTTAATTTTATACACTAGCATGGATCCAACAGGCAGTATAGCATGAAAGGGAAAAAAGACTGTGTGTAGGTAAAGTGGGGAAGCAGGAGAGAGCTATAATGATTTTATTTTGTTATACAGAGCCACTTATCCTTGTGACATGAATGATACATGAACAGCTAGTAGAACTGTAATACTGTACAATACACTGACAGCCAATTACTAATGATATAGGAACATTAAAAAGCAAATACAACAAAATTGTAGCAAATCAGTCAGAGCATAAAGGAAAAACATTAGATTTATGAGAGTGAAGTACCCTAAAAAACATCCACAAAATCAGAGACATAATAATAGCATTATATTTTAAGCTGCTGAAGAAAATGTTATAAATAATATTTTCTGACTTAGAAATTGTCCCAATGACTGGATTTTTATTTCAAGAGAACCTCTATTTTTGAATTAAATGCCATCCATAAATCTGGGAATTGTATTCACTTTTGTCACTTGATCCACTCAGTAGTAAATTTATGGTAAGCCTCCATGAAAAATTTCCAGCTTCCCTCAAACCCTTGGTTAAGGTTAGTCTGAGTTCTATCTTTTCCTCTAAAAAGATGTTTCCTTAGTGTTTGTCCATACTGTCTTCTCAATACCAGGACTCTTAGCATTTCTGTTCTATGCTCTTGGTATTATTTTGGGTTCTTTGGCAGTGACGTCATAACTTTGCAACTTATTTCTTATACCAGTATTGAGTATAAACATGAACCAACCTTAGTATTCACGCCAGAAGTTGTGTTTTAATTTTGTTGAGATGAAGCAAACATTTTTACAAATTTTCTCTAGTTTAATCTTAAATTTTTACATTTAGAAGTTCGTCTCAATTTAATTTTGTTAAAGGCCAGAAAAATAGAGTGACCAAAAGGAGAAAAACCTTGAAAGTGACTTGGTTGAGTAGCATAAGGTTAGTGATATCCAGTTTGATCGTAGTGGGAGAGACCTAGCCAGACACAGGATAGATTTAGCTTATGGTCATATATTTCTCTCCATTTTTCTTCTCTTCTAAGTATTATAATTATGATAAGTATCACATCTAGGTACTTTATTTTTTATTGTATATATATTTATCTATTTATAGATTTATTTATTTATACATAAAAGAGCTGGGGTGCAGGCCAGAGAGCAGGGGGTGAGAGGATTCACCAGAGACAGAGCGGGGAGCCCAACAGGCAGAGATCTACTGAAATACACTGCTGAGGGGAGCAGTGGGAGAGACAGGAGAGGTCTGCTGTGCCATGTGGGTCACCTCTCTGGCTAGAGATGGAACTTGTGCTGCAGTGGCTGCGGATAGCTTCACAGTGCTGAATCTCAAACCCTTGCGCCACCAGGGAGGCCCCTTTATATATTTTTCACATCATTCTTCATTTTTGTACAATGTATGCATTCTCATCTTGGTTATAATCCCCATGAAATTCCCACCACCAATTCACCCATGTTCCATCACCATAGTCTATCTAGGGTACTTTAATTGATGGCATACATTATAATTAAACATGAAACACAGACTCCAATGGAATTCATCACCTGAAGGTTTATGTTTTTAAAAATGTATAAAATGTATAAAGATGTATAAAAATGTTCAGTTTATGTTTCTAAAAATACCTTACCAACCTGGACACCCAAATAATGTTGAACCATCTTTGCCAGAAGTATATGCAGCGAACTGATAGGGACATGGCAACCTTTATCACCTCTACCTCTAGAGAATAAGACAAAGGTTAAAATCTGGCTCCAACACTGTCTAAATTTGACAAACTACTTTAACTTATTTTCTTATTTTTAAAGTGATACAACAATATATTCATCATATTATTTTGTAAGGATTGGATGATACAGCTTATGTAAATAATTAGTGCATAGTAGTTGTTCAATAAATTGCTGTCCCTGCTGGCTTTGTGGTTTCTCACTCAGCACTGGCTGCAGTGCGGGGATGAGGGGCAATAACTCAGTAGTACTGTCTACAGGAGCCGAAGTTCCTATGAAGTTGTGGTGAAAAAAAAAAAAAAGCCAAACAAATAAAATTGGATTTATTACGCATTATTTTTCAATTTGCCCTTTGTGTTCCCTTTGAACAGTTAGTGAAGGTAATAGAGCTGGGGAAAGCAAGTAAACATTGTTCATTTTTGTGATCTTTTCTCTTTAGAATTCACCCAGATTGTTAGTCTTGATGACTGATTAAATTTTGACAATTAAATGTGAACAAAGAAGAATTGTGAATAGTATGTAACTTGTATGAATCAATGGACAGGGTTTTGTTTTGTTCGAATTAGCTCTCTAGGGGCTAATATGACCATATTCTAGGTATTAATTTAGCTTAAATGGTTCCCACTGAAACTCTTTTTGTTTCTATGGAGACTTTTGCTCTGGTTTACTGGTATATAACTGTTTCCTCACCTTTTCATTTCCTGAAATAGCACCAAGTACAGTATCTAAATTTTGACTAATATAAATCAATGCACATGCTTTCCTTTCAGTAAAGTTCTCTATTTCAACACGTGTGCAGGATTTTCCTTTTTAATGCTTTAGACATCTGTTATTGCTAATGGGGATAAAATGTCACATGTTAAAAACAATAAAAGTTATTAAAAACAGTGCAGGTTTAAAATATTTTGAAATTATTTATGTTAGAAAAGTATTTTTTTATTTTGGTAGATGGCTGAATTTTCAAACTATAAATATGAAAAGTATGTGAAAATTAATGTGCATGTGAACATGTGACTATAAATATGTAAAGTATTTTGGAATCACATTTATTAGGTTCTAATGAATCCTTTTAAAAATAAAGTAAATATTAAATGTTATACAATCTCTATTGCACCTTTATACACACAGAAGCATAAGCACAAATCCACATACACATATTGCAATTCTCTTGGGGATAAATAGGAGCCAAGCCTTGGTATTAATTTTTAAAAAAACATGAATTTCACAAAAAATTTGAAGGGTATTCCTGACTAGTAAATAACTGTCTTAATACTTGTATAGTTTACTGCAGCTGTTTATTGGATGTGTGTGTGCGTGTGTGTGTGTATAATTTGCTGGTGAACTTAGTTGTGTTTAAGAAGTAATTATCAACATTTTGAATTTTCCATTTTAGTGTCAACAAAATTAAAATGCCTGTTTGGTAAGTACATTTTCCTTTAATTTTAATTCTTTTAAATTTAATTTTTAATTTAATTTAATTTTACTGTAAATTTAATTCTTATCTTTCTCATTTAGAACTCTCTTTCTGGGACATTACCAGAATACTTGCTTTATTGAAGAGAGGATTACAAAATCAATTTATTGAAGAGAGGATTACAAAATCAATCTTTTTCTAAAACACAATAATTTCATTTATATATATATATAAAATGATACAAAAACCTGGGAGACTAATAAAGGCTGTTTGAGATCAGGATATAGGCTGTCCTTGAAGGAGAGAAAGACAATAATTGGAAGGAATCATGACAGAGGCTTTTAACATGCTGGTAATATTCTGCTCTCTAGTATCCAAAGAAACATGGCAAAATATCATTTCTAAGCATTTTCAATATGTAGCATAAATGTTTTAGAGTTAAGAGTTCTCACCTAAGTAATAGCATTTTCCTTTTTGACTAAGGATGGAATTCACAAATTGTATTGTTGTGTAGTTATTTTTATTTTAAAATAATTTTATGATTGTTTTTTGGTGTTGACATTTAAGATCTACTCTGCTATAAACTCTCAAGTGTTATCAACTACACTCCCCGTGATGTACAATAGATGCTCAGAGCTTATTCATCTTATATGTTGAAGTGTGTACCCTTTGATCAACATCTTCCCATTTCTTCTACCCCACAACTCACGGGAACCACCATCTTACTCAATTTTTATGAGGCTGACTTTTTAGATTACACATGTAAGTGACAACATGCACTTTATTCATTTATTTATTATTTCATTTAACATAATGTCCTCAGAGTCCACCCATGGTGTTACAAAAGACAAAAGTCCTTTCTTTTTTATAGCTGAATAATACTCCATTTTATATTCTGTATTTTCTTTATCCAGTCAACTGTCAATGGACATTAGTTTTTTCCCAAGCTATATTGGGTATTCTAAATAAACCTCTAATGAACATGGGTGAGGAGATGTCTTTTCCAGATAATGATTTCATTTCTTTCAGCTATATGCTGAGCAGTGAGATTGCTGGATCGTTTCACATTTCATTTTAATCTTTGAGGAATTACCTTACATTTCTGTTGTGGCTGTACCAATTTACATCGCTACTAATAATGCACCCAAGCTCCCTTTGCTCCACATCCTTCTCCATATTTGTTATTTCCTGACTTTCTTGTATTAGCCATTCTGTAAGTGTGAGATTGTAGCGCATTAGTTTTGGCAAGCATTTCCCTGATGATTACAAAGATTGAACACCTTTTCATGTACCTATTGGCCATTTGTATGTCTTCTTAGGAACAATGTTTATTTTGGTCCTTTGTGCACCTTTTAAAGTCAAATTATTTGTGTTTTTTTTTTCTATTGAGTTGTATGGGTTTCAGATATTTTTTGTTACTAACCCCTTATCAGATAGATGGTTTGCAAATATCTTCTCTCATTCTGTAGGCTACCTTTTCATTTTGTCCATTGTTTCTTTTGTTGTGCAGGAACATTTTATTTTGTTGTAGTCCCATTTGTTTCAAAATAGCTTTATGATTTTTCTGACTACAAAAAGATGGTATAAAATTTAGAAAACATAATCAAGTACAAAAATAGCCAGTTCAGAAGGAATAATGCTAAATGAAATAAGTCACAAGGAGAAAAATAAATATGCATGGTGTCACTCATATGTGGAATATAGAAAAACTAAGAGTCAGATAAGACAAGCTTGAAAACAGACCCTTGAAAACTGACTACTGTTTTTCAGAAATGAAGCACCCATGGGAGGGAGGAAGGAAGGAAGCAGTAAGAAAACAAAGGGAAAGAAGCACAGTGGACTTTGGCGATGGGTCATGTGTGACTTGGTGGTCTGTGCACTATGTGGCAATACCTGATAGAAGTATAAAATGTTACCTCAATTAAAAATCAATAAATTAATTAAATTTAAAGATCATACACAATTTTATCTCAATAAAAATATGATTTAAAAAGATAGTTCTACAGTATATGTGAAATGGTTATATTTATAAATATTAATATAGACCTATACTTTATTATACACAATCCTATATGAAACAAAAATGAAGCAGTGCCTCACATACTGCTTTATAAGATACTTTTAATTTATTATTTATTGGAATTATCTTTCCACAATACACACTGTTTTGCATATCATCTTTTAAAATTACAGCAACAATTTCAAGTACTCATATTTTTATACATCTAGACTATTTCTATTCTTTGAGATAAACAATATTAGATGAATATTTTCTACTCTAATATTTGTATCAGATTTGATTACTTCTTTAGGCTAAATTCCCCCATCAGTGAAATTTCTAAGAATCCACAATTTGTCCTAATACTCTCAAATATAGCTCAGATCTTCCCTACCAGAATCAAAGCTTCGACAGCATTCTTGAAACCTTTCTAACTTCTTTCTTGTTATGGCAAATTACTCAAACTTCAGATACTATTGAATCTCTTCAAGAGGAAGTAGCACTGCTCGCAGGCAGAAAATTCTGTTTTTCTCATTGAGCAATGACCCTCATCTAATCAATGAGTGTGCTGCAGGTTTCCCAAATGGCAATTCCAGACACTTTTTTTTTTTTCTGTAATTGACTAGCTGCAGCTCTTAGTAATTATATTCAGGCCTCATATACTTATGTGCAGCAAATGCTCAGTCAAGAACTGGAGTAATTACGGGGCTTGCTTTCCATGTGTATAAAGACACAGATGCTCACTTAAATACCTGTTTCACTGACAAATATGGACATTAATATTATAACATATAAAGTATTCAAGAAAGAGATGCCTATTAGTAAAGAAGAGTGAAACTACCAAACTATGAAGAAAAAGGGAAAAAATACAATTTTTTAGAGGTTTAAGCTAGGAGTAAGAAAATTAACATATGTATCATCCATTCCAAATTACTTGTGAGGGACCTTTGAATATAACATGCTTGCAAGTATGCAAATCACACAATGGAAGGAAGGATTAGAAGTATAGAAGTAGAAGCTCTGAGGGTGTAAGTACCCCGAGGTTTAGATTGAGGTATGGTATATATTTTCATGTAGATGCAATTTGGGTAGATTTTTGTTGTGTAATGCTTTGAATTCTGGGCATTTTTCAGCCTGTTTCATGTTAACTTCAGAAGCAAATGATTGAATTTGATGAAATGTAGTACACTAATAATGGTATGAAGTTTAATTTGTGGTTGTGTCATCTTGAAACAAAGTGGCATTCAATATGTATATATGTATGTATGTGTATATATATATATATATATATATATATATTTATTTACTGAGCTCATCTCCTCTAATTTTAATAGACTTTGTTGAGATTAGGCAATGAATAGTGATGAAAGAAATGGAGTGGCATGTTCAGTTAGATCTACAATTGACAAAACCACTACTTGTCAAATGCTTGTTAACTAAAGTTACCACATTTTTTTTTCGGCTAAAAATATGAACCCATGGTGAGAATATTTGAAATTGGGTATGTTTTCCAAGTTGGAAAAATTTTAGCAAATTTCAAAAGGCCCTTTACCATCAATCCTCAAATAAGCCACATGAAGTTGAATCAAAGCTTTTGAAAAGAAACATGATATTCAATAATTATCCTTTTAACTTTATATTCCAGTAGGAAAATTATCATATAAATTAGCACATATGGAAAGACCTCCCCATTTTCAAATAATGTGAAATTATGTTCAAGTTAAAACCAACTTTATCTTTTAAAAAGCTGATATTTAAATTGTAGATAAGTATGCAAAAATTTTCAAAGATTTAATATAAATATATGATAATTACAGTGAAAAAGGGGTCTACATGAATAAAGGGGACAAGGTCAGGTACCAAAATTTTCAAAGACTGTAAATAGCAGAAATAACACAGATGACCACAAATGCATTTTGGGAGCCAACTTTCCTCTGCTGCTCCAAAGAGAGTCCACCTCTCTTTCCCTCCCTGATTCTGTGGGAGCCAGGTGACAAGCACTCAACTTCCTGTGGAGGACAGGGCCTTCTCAAACAACACACAGCCACCCAATCCCGTTGCCAATTGACAGGGCTTAGTAAAATACAGGTTTTCAGATTTCATATCAGCCTGGATCAAACACCCATAAATTATTAATCAACAAGACAGTCCTTCTCAATTACTATCATGAAAACCATAGCTTTTGAGATGAATTTGTTCAAAAAGTCAATTCCCAAGGATTTACCAATTGAGGTATCACTTTTTCATATGAAAAGTTTTATATGTAAATCTTAAAGTTTTTTATATGTAAATTTAAAATTTTTTTGATTTTGTATGGCATGGACAAGAAACATTACCTTTTTGCTTCTATGTTTTAAAAACAAAATTAAACAAAAATATGTTATTAGGGCAGCCACTAAAATGGGGCACGTAATACCAGTTAAGATCCTGATTCTGTTTAGTAGAAGCAGAGCAATTATTTAATATTGCTTTTGTGTAAATTCTCATGAGCCCTTCTAAAAGGCAGAATTTTCATTTTGTTTGACATGTACAGTCAACATTGAAATAGCATAAATAACAATAACATTGGCTAAGTATTTACTTTGTGTGAGGCACTATACTAAGCACTTTATGTGATCTCTTCTGAAACACATTAATGCTGTCACTTTTTAATTACAGATGAAGGTTGGTACTGAAACCCAATAGTGTTAAGTGCTTTATATCATTCAGTAAAGCAGAGGAATTAAGGATGTGAAGCTCCTGCAATACTACAAACCATACTTGAGAACATACCTGTCCAAGAATGTCAACATGAACCAAAGTACCCAGAATCACATACTTAGTTCTTGGCCATACCCTTTAAGGGTAGAATCCTGACTTTTATTCCAGGACCCACATAATACCATGCACTCACTTTGGTTTCACCTTTATGAAACAGTACAAGATAAATAGTAGAACATGATATGAATCAAATATAAATGAATGTCTCCTTAAAATTAATAACTTGCACCTGTATCGGTCTTTATAGGTTCAAAGTAAGATCATACTAATTGATTTTTTTCACTTTTTATATAATTATAGATACACAGGATGTTGCAAAGATGGTAACAGAGATTCTGTTTACCCTTCATTTAGTTTCCTCCATTGGTTATAACTTACATGTCTACAGTACAATATCCAGAAAATAAAAATTCATATAAAAAGGGCAGAGTTCTGTCAGTCTATTATATATGTAGATTAGTGCACCATTGCAATTAAGATACACAAGGATTCCATCAGGAATCACCTGACTTGACATGGAAATATAATGTCTGAGCTGTTGACAATATAGAACTTCTCTGAATGAATTCAGAATTTTTTTCATATTTATAGTCACTTGCCTACGTTGTCTTTTTAATATATGTGGTGTTACAGTAGCAGGTTAAAGGAGGGCTTTTTTGTCCCCATGTTCATTTGTTGGGTGAGTACTGCTCCATACAGAAAGATGCATAGACCAGGGCTAAATGCTGGCACTCAATATTCCAGGAAAAAAATGTTGGAGGTTTAAAAAAGATTAATTTTAAAAGCTTATTTAAGTCCTATTCTTCTTCTATTTTATGCTTTGGTACATTGCCATTAGTGACGAAGATGATGCTTGGTTCATAGTGTTTATTTTTTTATTTTTTTTAAGATGTATTTATTTATTTATTTGTTTATTTATACAAGCACTGGGTACAGTCAGAAGCGCGGGAGGGTGAGAGAATTCACCAGAGCCAGAGCAGGGAGCAGAGCAGGCAGAAGGACCGAAGTACACTGCTGAGGGGAGCAGCAGGCGGCAGGAGAGGTCTGCTCACCATGGGACCCTCCTCTGGTGACTGGGGAGCAGCCGGGGATCGAACCGGCACTGCAGAGGCTGCTGGCAGCTTCGCAACCCAACGCTCAAACGCTGCGCCACCGGGGAGGCCCTGGTTCATAGTGTTTAATGCCGTATAATTGGAAGGAATATAATAATGACGATGATGGGATAATAAAGGGATAATAATGACGATGATGATGTGTGTTTTAATAGTAACTATTACAGAGTGCTCACTCTATACTACTTTATTCATTGTACATATATCAGTCAATTCTCATAATGGCCCTATTAATGAATATTATTATTTCTATTTTATTTTTTAAAAAGATTTATTTATTTATGCATACAAGAACTGAGGTACAGGCTAGAGGTGTGGGCTGTTAAATTGCAAAGACTTTTTTTAGTAATCATGTTCTTCAAAAGAGTTTTGTCTCTTCTCTTCTGGCAAGATTGCACTGAAGAAAGTTGTGGCTTTGAAAATATCCGTACATTATTTTAAGGCCTCTTCAAAAATTTCTACCAGTAGTTCACCTTCTCAGTTTCAATGCAGAGCCTGTATCTCTCTGATATCTGATAAGCCTATGCTTATATTTCTAGTCCTCAGTAAGAATAAATACTTACTCATTTTTACAACATCATTTCTACTTACATTAATGATTGTATAATTATTTACAAAAGACCTTAGTCCCTTAGAGTTTGGGCTCTGAAATCCTCGACTGTAAATAGTAGCTTTACCATTTATTAGACAATTGAGCTTGGGAAGTTTACTTAACGTGTCTACTCCATACTGTCCTCATCACTATGACACTAACAATAGTTTCTGTACCCTAAAATTATTATGAGAAATTTATACTTGTGTAAAGAACTCAACAGAATGTTTTTAATATGTGCTCTCATGTAAGTAATAAGTAGATCTACCAGATAGATAGATAGATAGATAGATAGATAGATAGATAGATAGATAAATAGATAGATAGTTTAGATAGATTTTACTATTCCTTATAGATATTACTATATCACCAGGTCTAATAATCCAATTATTGTTCTTGAGACCATTTTGATTTTCTCCAACATTTCAATAAACTATGGGATTAAATAAACTCAATCAGCTCAAGATTTGAACTGAAAAAATAGAGCCTGTGATTTTACTAAGTTCTGAGGAAGTCACAAAATTATCTGCAGTGAAATGATTATGTAATCACATTCATTCATTCAAATGTGTTTATGTGATGTTGCTGCTTTCTATTGTTCACAAGCTGTTTGATCTATTTCCATATTCTCATAGATATTTTCCTCCCTTTTGAAGACTGGAAATCATAAAAAGCTGTCCATAACAGCTGCTCTGAGGTCATCTACATTTGCTAGCTGCAGGTGGAAATCTCCTTCACAGGACCCTAAATAGAAGGTTGTAAAATTTGGCTTTGAGGGAGCCAGACAGTACCAGACTTTTGTATAATTTATCATCCACAGTGCGTGTTAAGGTGCTTTTGATCTTTGAAGGCAATATCTTTCAAAGTAATGTGTAACTTATATGTGACCACCGGTCCTTTTTAGAAATTGCAGTATCACGCTGATTTCAATGATGAGTGAATGAATTTTTAAGATGGCACACTGATGACTCAGTTTCATTGAGAGGCCCTACATGCTGTTGAAATCCAGTTGGGAGGATAAATTGAAGGTGTGTGAATGGTGCTTTGAAAACAAAGCACTAAGCAGTTGTGAGATATTTTATTAGGATAATTTCCACCAAATTTGTCAAACTCTTGATTTCATGGAATATTAAAATTATTTGCCTCCTGCAAAAGTGAAAGGGGAATCCTACCAAATATTAACCATGAAGAGTGTTTTAAAATACATTTCACCCTATTATTTGCATTTTCAAGGGTAGAACTTAAACTTGTGTTTCAGCGATAGAACTTAAAATTTGGTGTCACAGAGAAAGTGGGGGAAATTTATAGGCTTTGGTTTATTGAGACTTGGAGACGTTTTTCCATCTTTTTGGTATTTTATTCCTGTCAGTTTGTATTGCATCTTTCCTTTCCTTCTCCTCCTCCGCCAGGTTTGGTTTTGAGTTTTGGATTCAAAGAAACCCCAAAGTCAAAACAAAATGGTCAGAATTGCTGACTCTTGTTTTGTAACCTTTTTTAGTCCAGCATTCACAGGAAGAACAGGCACTCACCAGACATTAGGCCTAACTTCATCCAAAATATTGGCGAAGTTCAGGGACTTCTGAGTGAACTTGAGCCAAAATATAGACCAAAACTTCAACAGTTTTGTAAAACATTTAAAATATAAAATATAGTTTAATAAAATAATATCACCCTATAAGAAGCACATTTAGTACTTAAAGTTCAATATTAATCTGTCAGTTATTTTTGATAAAAATAAAACTTTAATTTCTATTTTGTGTTAAAGAGAATCTGTTTTTTTTTTTTTTTTTCAAGCTATAGGTACGTTTTGGAATTTGACTTGTAAAATATACTTAAGTGTCCTCATTAATTTTGAAATTTTCTTTGAAGACTTTTAATTAACAAAAGAAAGTTATGTAAAAACTGTGCTTATGAAGTTTCATCTCGGTATTTTTATAGCTATGCTATAAATCTTCCACAATAGTGCTTTTATAATGGAAATGCTGACAAATGCAATAATAAACACTCACCCAAGGGGTTTAATTGTATGGTCATACAGGAATTATGCACACTAGCATAATATTTGATTCAGTTTCCAGTATTAATTTTGCCAAAATCTGCTTTCACATTGGGCAACTGTAAAAGATGATAGGTTTGAATGGCTGCCTGTTGATGGCAAAGGCTTCTGATTATTTTTACTTTCCTTGGAAAGCCAGATTATGTCTTTCAAATATGATTTCATTTAGATTTTTTTTTTTTTGGTTTACATGTCTGAATACTAATAGTAACCTGATAGTTATGGGGAACTTAGTTTGAGACTAAATGGCACTTTTTAGTCAGTAAATAGTGTATAAATAAATTGCCTCCAAGCAACATCTAAAATGGTATTTAGATTCCCAATGACCAGATAACTTTAAAATTTCAAAAAGTGATTACTTTTCCAAAAATAATTGACACCATTAGGATTTCTTTTTTTAGTAGAAGTTACTGAAAACTAATGTCTGCTGATATTTCTATCAATGTTAGTTTAGAAGATAATAAAGAATAAAACAATTTAATATAGTGTGTCCTATATACTAAAAAAAAACCACTTGTCCCAACAAAAGACACTGAGTTTATGACTGTAACATGACGAAAATTAAAACTATCACTTTGCTTAGAAAAGTTGAATGTCAACATATGGAGGTGTAGTAGATTCATGTTTGAAATGTATATAATATATTGCCTTATCTCTATGAGTGATTTGGTATAAGATATGTCAATCCATTCTTTGTGCTTCTGATGATTATTTGACTTTAAATTATTCTATTAGTATAATGAAAAAGAAAATTCCTTATAAAACTACATTTTAGTATAGCTTCTAAGCAGGTAGAAACTTTTAAAAAAGCATTTACAAGCTCTAACCTTTTTAAGAGTGATGTACATAGCTAGTAAAAATAATAAATAATAAAGGAAATAATTTTTAATTTAGAGGTTTTTTTAGGTAATATTTACTGAACTAAAGCGATAGTGCTTACTAAGTATTTAACAGAATGATTCATAATATGAGGGAGAGGATTAAGGTTTATGGGATGATTATATTCTTAATGATTTGATGGTTTTGAAGTCTTTTTTTTTTACAGTTTTGTTTTCATTTTTGGTTTTCAAAATTGGTTCTCTTAACAGAATATTAATGATGAGTAGAGCTCAACTTTTTTCCTGATTTAAACTTGCAGATTTTTTGAAGTGATGATTAATTGTCAGTAAGACTTAGAGTGGGAGAAGGAAGGGAGCTTCTGTTAAGTCTTTTCAATTTTGAACCCATTCACACCAAGTAAAATGTTCAACGTATTTCTTTATTGAATGAGTGAATAACTAGATAAACATATGGGATTGATGGTGTCACCAGCACCCCCAATAAATTGGGGAGTATAATAATACAGTTTGTATTTTGTTTTCCTATATCATGTTGAAATGAGTGACTTTGAATTTATACACTTAATCTTAAAAAATAGATATGTTGCTCTATAATAACCAAAAAGTTGTTTAGAAAAAAGAGGGGGAAAAAAGTAGAGTAATTTTATATTATAAAACGCAGAGAGGCCATTGTCCTGTATCAGTTTATATTAATAAAAGTGCTAGAGAATTTTAAAGAATACAATCCATGGTTTTGTTGTTACTTAGTCTTCAATGCATTTTTTTCTTTTATCTATTTACCTTAATTTTCTTTAGGTAGAGGTGGAAAATACCCTGGTGAAAATACACAGGCAAAATAAAAATTTATCTTTGGGAGGGAAGTTATTTTAGAACTAATCCACTTCCTACAGATGGGATAACTAGGAAAGTTTTAAATGAAGGCTCTTGTGAGGCAATGCTGGTTGGAGGCGGTGAGAATTGGCAGAAACTACCAGAAAGGCAGTGTGGTCATTGATTGCCCAAAACTTGACTTCTATTCCTAATATCAGGAAATCATCATCGGCAGAAAAGATATTCATAGGATTGCTTTTTGCATCATCATTTATTTCTTTAATGAGAAAATATTTTAGCTATCCACCTGCAAAGGTTTGAAGTTCTAATACACTGATATGACAATAAAATTCAGTAAACAAAATTATGTTTAAATAATACTTCAAGTCAAGGGCAAAGTGCTCATTCTAGAATGCTGAGTGAAAAAGATCAGTATCCAAAAGTAACTTTGCTAAATATGGAGCTTATATCTGCACAGGAGAAAAGAAAGACCAGAAGGAACTAGATTAAGATGCTAACTGTATGGTAATATGGAGTGACAAATTTTCTTACTTTTTAAACTTGTTCTCCAAATTTTCTAGGATGAGTATATATTACTTTTTAATAAAATGAATTGTATTTCTAAAAGTATGATAGAATTGTGTGCGTGCACGCGTGGGTGAGAAAGCAAGGGACAAAATAAATTGTTGAAATAACTGAAGACTTATACTTTAGGGTAACAGAATTTACAGGCAGTTGGGCAGTGTACACTCCTGGTCCTCTCTTCATCCTCTCCCATCGAGACTCCAGTGCTAGCAGGTCACCCAGAAGGCAGAACTGCGGAAAGAGAGAGGCCAAACTAGAGGTGCAGTCCCTCTGCGTGGGTCTGTATCAATCTCGTTTCTACCGCGGGCGTTTATTTTGCAAAACAGAATGCATCTCCTCACTTGACTTTTTGCTTTCACAGTCCTAAGAGGCAATTAGAAAGAAAACTATCTTCCTTACCGACAGCTTAAAAAAAAAAGCGCGCCCTCAGGCGGCACTGCTCCTTTTTAGTAGACCCCGCCTTTTCCTGGAGGCGGCAGGGGAAAGAATCTCGGGGGACCAAAGCTTGGGGCGCCCAAGGCACCCTGCAGGCCCATGAGCGCCCCCAGACGCCCAGAGCATCCCCTACGCACCTTCAGGATCAGGCTTTGGGTTCTTGGAAAATACCGAACAGAGCTGCCGATTCTACGCGAAAGGGGCAAAGTTTGCGTTCCAGCTGAGGGGAGTCGGAAGGGGAAGGCGAGAAGGGAGGAAGGTGTGAGGAGAGACGGACGTTCTTTCTCTGACGTCGCGGTTTTTCACCCTGTCCCCTAGACTTTTCTTTTTTCATCTCCGTCTGTCTCTCCACAAAAGAAGGAGGGCCGGATCTCCTAAGTCGTGATCTAGAGCTCCTTGGCCTCTCTGGAGACGCTGCACCCCACACCCCTGCAGGTGTCTGCTTCCTAAGAGCACAGGCAGGGCAAGCACTGGCGGTGAACGCGCAGCACCGAGTCTTCAGGCCTTAAAAAAAAAGTAGTAACGTCTACTTTACTTTTCTATTAATAAAAAAGGCAGGCAGGAGAGACGAGTTTTAAAGCTCCCGAACGCTGCCATTTTCGAGGAGGATTAGCTTCCCATCTACTCCGACTGCACAAGACACTCCAGCGCGCTGGCCTAGGGAACCTGCTCTAATATGCCGGGTTCGCCCCGGCTTCAAACTCGTTTAAGCGCGGTCGTATATAGAGTGAATCTACGGTGCTTCTCAAGGGCAGGGTGGGGGGTGGGGGTGGGGGGGTGGTTGCAATCCAGAATCAAGCTCCAGAAGGAGAGACTTTTTTGGGAGCCTCCCTCCTGGCCTGTCGGCCTTATCCGCTGCGGAGTCCAGAAACACCCCAGCCTGTGCGCGCCCAGGCGCGGAGGGGACAGACACGTCGATCCCACCCCGGCTCAGCCGCTTTACTTCTTCTCGCTGCTCTCCAAGAGCTCAGTCATGAAGGAAATGTAGACGATAGCCAAACGTAGGGTCTCGATCCGGGACAGCCTCTTCTCATAAGCAAAAGTGGGCACCTTCCTCCGCAGCTGGTCGAAGGCCTCGTTGAGGTTGAACATCCTCTTCCTTTCGCGGATATTGGCGGCTTGGCGCTGGGCAAACGTGATCACCCTTTTCCTCTTGGGGCGGCACAGCAGGGAGGAGTTTCTTCCGTGCTCCTGTTCCTCCTCCTGCTCCTCCTCCCCCTCTTCTCCCTCCTCCTCTACTGGGTCACCCTCCTCAAAGCGAGCCAACCTCCTGGGTCTGTCCTCTCGGAGCGCAAGGTCTTGATCCCCAAAGCGGACCCCGGGCGCGAAGTCACAAAGAAGAGGGTGGCCCGAGGAGACCAAGGACAAGTCTGCGACGAAGTCCAGCACGGAGGCATCCACGCAGCTCTCCGGATAGACAGCCATAGCGTTGCCTGGGTTCCGCGTCTCATCGGTTGCGCTCAGGGAGGGGCGAGACTGGTGATGGGCTTGCTAATAGTCTTGAATTCGGATTAAGCCCCATCCCTTAAGGGCCAGAGGACTTTAATATTGAAAGCAAGCTGATAACAGGATTAGTCGCACCTTTAGGGAAGGCTCTGAAAATATCACTCCTCTGGAAGCTGATGGAGGAAGACAAGCTTTGAGCACTCATGGAAGACAGAGGAGACAGATCTCCAACACTGGGATTCTTTTTTGCTGCACCACCTGGAGCAGTTCCTTCTTGGCAACAACCCCCAGTTCTTACCTGCTATGTTTTTTGTGTCCTTCCTCACCCTGCAGCCAACTGATGTTCTTCAGGATCCTTATCGCATGTAGCTCTTTAATGTACGTTAATTTTTTTTTTAAAGCGAGAGTGTTTTCCACTGCTCTGGTTTCTCCTTGGCTTCAGGGTAGTTCTGCCACCCGAGGCTGCCAATGAGTGTGAAACAAGTGCATGTGCTTTTAATGATGTCCTGAAGAGGGGCCCTGCCTGCCAGGGGTCAGGGGAGCTGTTTGTCTGGTATCCCAGTGCAGCGGCCGCTGAAAGGCAAGACCTTCCATTAGCTTAAGTAAGCACGGTAGGGGGGCCGAGAGCGCATTCCCCAGAGTAGCTGTTGGAACCGGCTTTCTCCTTCCAGGGTACGGTAAACAGGTCTCCTGCAGCTTTAGAAACCCTGACTTCTAAAATCTGTTTTGTTGTAATCAGCCTAACAATTGAGATACTTGACTTTACTTTCCCTACCCTTTATCTCCTACTCGCTCAGAGGATTTTACTTCAAGGACAATAGTTATGGTGGCAAATGAAAAGTGGAGGCTCAGAATGTTTTCTTCGAGGATGCTTTACTGTATAATTCCAGTCTGTATAAGTCCAGAAAACCCTCCTCAAAACAAAATAAATTCAATCTCCTTTCACAAGTGCAATCTTATCTTTGATAAAACAACGGGTTGATCAGTTCAGCCTCTGTTGAGAAGTTTTTAGATCCTTAAATTGCTGATCAGTATCTGTGAACAAAGAAAATTCCTAATTCCGTTGGTTTCTGTTCCTTCTTGATTTCTATCTCCCTAAGGACTTAAGAACAGAAATGATGTTTTATTGAATTCTATTTAAGGAAGATTTTGGTTATTTTCAGATTATTTTTTGAAATGAAAAAAATATTTTAAATTTGCCACAATGAAAATGAAATTTTGCTGATTTCATATTATCTCTGTTTTTGAACAACAACAAAAAATCTACCCTTTGCCAGTAGCTGTATTCCTTTAATTGTTCATTGTAAGCCTTTAAAAAAAAAGACATGGTGGGGGCAGGATGACATAGATTAGAAGAGACAGCCTTTAAAAAGAAGAGTATGGAGAAGTCTTGGTTAAAGGGAGAATCGCTGTGGACATCGATTCCTAGTAAGAAGGCAAATGTTACTGTGAGGTTTAGTTAGTACATTGGACAGCTCCCAGAGACCTCCTATTTCTGACAGGTAAGCACAATTTCTTTTCTTTTTCCTGGCCTCCTACTGTGTACTACTAGATATTGCTTTAATTGAGGCTTTGATAAAACAGTATCATGTTAAATTTTTCTTTTTCTTTTTAACCCATTTTTGTCTGGGCTCTTCCTGCTCTTTTGTCGGTTCATTGATTTTCTTGGTGTGTTTACTCTTCACTTTCCAATTTGCCTTAGTAGGCAGAAAACATCGAAAATTACATTCGTAAGAGAGTTAATGAGAATTAGATAGGTTATTATAATTATCTATTTGGTTTTTACTAAACTTCTTTCAAAGATAAGACTGAAGCATTAAAATAAATTGGAATTTCAACGGTGGCTAAGGAATAAATGAGAATTAATTTTTGTTTTGACGAGCAGTAGCATGCCTTCTTACCACTGTTCTTACCACTGTTTAACTTAATGTGTTATTAAATATTTGGGGCAAATTTTATGGCTGAATTTTAGTTGTTAAATGTTTCACAGTGACTTCTATTTTCTCTTTTCAGTGTATATATAAATGGATTAAATATCTCACCAAGTGAGAAACTAGTTCCCAAACAAATTACATTAGGACACTTAAGAGGAAAACAATGATAGAAATTAAAATTTTAAATTTAATTGAAATAAGAGTCCTTGCTATTGTGTAACTGCACAGAGTCAATTTTCTTGGACTAAAATACCTTGTGATTTTATCGAAGGGAATGAACATCCCAACAACCATATCACAAGAGAATCTGTAACAAAATGAATGTAAACAACATGCAGCATTGGGTGACATCAATTTTAAATATTAAGGAATTTAGGAAAATGTTTATATGTAGCAATAATTTTAAAATTCTTTCTGTTCACTTTCATCATAAAATCCAAAGATAAATACTGCTGTTATACTGGAGTAATTTCAGTTTATCTAACATATTTCTAATAATGGTGACATAATTAGAAAAACATGTTAAAAATCTGTTTTGGTAATGATTGGCTGTTTTTCTTTATAAATATAACTACCTAACTATAGAATAAATAAGTGAAATTCTGCTTCTCTGCTTATTTTAAAATATCTACTTTATTTTAAAAAGACTTTTGTAGATATTTGGTCCCAGAGTAATTATAAATAATAAATATAGTAAATTTAAAAAGTAGTAAGTGATTAAAACAGTTATCCCTCTTAAAGAAAACAATATTTTCTTTTCTAGATTTGAAAGTTAAGAGAGAAACAATTTTTTTAAAAAGACTCAACTGAGGATTAAAGTAAGTTAAATTCAATTTGACTCCTTTGTGTTCTAGCCTGATAGTTTATATCCAACAACTACAACTACATGTAGGCTTTCAAAAAAGAGTTTGATAAACCAAACACAAATTTTGCTCAAGATGTTTCAAGAAATTATCATGAAATAACAGTTTATCTTACTTTACAATCTATTGGCCATTCTAATGAAACATTAAACATTTTATGTATAATATTTTGCATTCAGAATCAAAGCAGAAAAAAAAAGACCAAAAATAACTTGAGCAATAATTCACAAGGTGGCTGAAAGATGATATTGACAGTGATGAGCAGAAAATTGTAGATGAAAGAAATACCGAACCCTCCCTTATTCACGCCCCTTCTCCTATTCTTTCAGGATCATTAAGTGATTCTAGGGAAAATGATAAGATAGAAGAAAGGTAGATGATTGTCATGATTGCAGGGGAGAAAGTTCTAAGAAATGCTCCCTCAGGTGTCAGAGAGAAGGAACCTGCATGCTCTTCTCAATTTCAAATTATCTATGGTTTATAGTTATGACTGATTTTAAATTTAGACATCTATATACCTTACATTAGGTAAACTTTTTTTGAAGTTTAATATAGATACTTAAAAATTCACAATCATATATGTGTAACTTAATGGATTTTAATATAGTAAACATACTCATGAACCAGTGCTCAAATCAAGAAACAGAGTGCTTTTTGAAGTTGGAGATAATGTAAAAACAGATACATCTTTATTACATATCCTGAAACTCTTTCAACCTCCTCCACAACTTCATACCCAAATCAAATCACTAGCCACTCTTCAAGGTATTATTCTATGAATTCTAAGATTTACCAATTTTTGAATATTATATGAAAACAAGCTCTACTCTGTGTATACTTTTGTGTCTTTCTCTCAACATTTTTTATGAAAGTCATCTATATTATTTTAATTGCTAAATAACATTTCATTCTATGAATATACACTATTAATGTGTTCCTTCTACTATTGAATGGCATTTAGATCATTTCCAGTTTTCCATTACTACAAATGGCATTGCTATGGATATTGCTGTACATATCTTTGGTAAGAAATTTTATGCATTCCTTTTAGGTATACACCTACAGATGGAATAGGTTATGTATATGATAAGTTTTAGTAGTTACTGATAAATTGTATTTTAAAATGATTTTCACAATTTACATTGTAACCAGTGTTGTAGAGTATTCCAGTTTCTTCAACAGTTGGCATTTTTGATATATTCTGAATATGTGCAAGAGTATCATATTGTGGTATTGATCTACATTTCTCTGATAAATGAAATTGAACACCATTTCATAGCAATTAATTTGGCAGTGGGTCCTTTGTAAAGGGCTGAAATGTTTTGCTAATTTTTATAATGTATTTATATGTATAAGTGTTCTAGAGATGAGTGTTATGCAGATATGTGTGTTACACATATCTTCTACTACCCTATGGATTTCCTTTTCATTATTTTGATATTTGTCTTTCAATTAAATTTTTTTCCTGTATTTTTATTAAGACTAAAAAATTTAAGCTTAATGTAAATTTAAGGTTTGCAGCAAAATTGAAGGAAAGGTACAGAGATTTCCTATATATACCATGCTCCCACACATGAATAGTCTACTTTATGATCAACATCTCACACCAGGGGACTATATTTATTACAACTGATGAACCTACACAACACAATTACCAAAGTCAATAGTGTGTGGGCAGGGGCCTCCCTAATGGCACAAGGGTTAAGATGCAACACTGTGGGGCCTCCCCTGGTGGCGCAGTGGTTGAGCACTGGGCTGCAAGACTGCCCACAACCTCTGCAGCACTGGTTCGTTCCTCAGCCACCGGCGAGGGTCCCACAAAAAAGATGCAGCACTGTGAAGCTATCAACAGCCACTGCAGCACATGTTTGATCCCTGGCCAGGGAGCTACCCACATGGCATAGCAGACCTCTTCTGACTTGCCCACTGCTCCCCTCAGCAGTGTATTACGATCAATCTGCCTGTTCTGCTCCCCACTGTTTCTGGTGAGTCCTTTCACTCCCCACACCTCTGGCCTGTACCCCAGTTCTTGTATGGATAAATACATAAATCTGAAGAAAATAGTTTATGGACAAATATTTAACTCTGACATATTTGGGATTTACTTTTGATACTGTACATTCTATGGGCTTTGACAAATATATTGAGACAAAGCAATCATAATACAGAGTGTTTTCACTGT